GCTGGGTGCTCAGAACGGGAATATTTTCTTTGATTAATTATAAGCAAAGCCACCTTTCACACGGGCTTAGTATGTACCAGGGGCTGTAAAGCACCTTACGTCCATTAACACATTAATCCTTGTGATGAGAAAAGCAACTTTTGAGGAGAACAGACTTTGTTTTTCTGGGTTGCTGCCTAGGCATTTTACAGTATGATAACCCTACTCTCACTCAGAGTCTGGACACTAAGATAAGGACTTTTGAGTTGAGGATGCCCGCCATGAGTGCCCGCTTTTATTTTCCCGGGGCACCTTTTCAAATAACTACTTAGAGTTAAGGCGGGAGGAGAGTTGGTGACCTCTGCCCCAACCATCATATAAGTAATAAGTGCTCGCTACCCTGCTCTCTATCTCCTGCTCGCTCCTGCCCTCCCCCTGGCCCATGGCATACACACCCCCATTCCTGGGATCTGTAAGTAATAAATCTTGGGACTCTTTCTTCCTTTGTGTGGGTGTATTGAAACTGTGCCTTCAGTCAAAATGACCCTGTGGGTTTCACTTCCCCAAAGTGGGAGCTCGGATGCTGGCAAGACTGTGTGGGTGGCTTGTGCCCCCTCGTTCAGCAGGTCATAATTGGCATGTTCTCGATTTAATACACTAGCTGTGGGCCCCTCAGCACAGTCCTTACCACAGTGCTGTGAGGTGGATACCTGTTATTACCAACTCTGAAAACCCTGATATTGTGAGAACAATAAAAGTAGGGGACACTTTCTTATCGAGCACTTACAGTTAACTAAGATTATGCCTGTCCATGATTGTCCCTGTTTTACATCTGGGAAAACTGAGCTTGGTAGAGGCAAAGCCCCTTGCGTAAGGTCAATCAGCTAGAAGGTGGCAGAGCCAGGACTTGAACCCTGCGAGTCTGGACTTCACCAAGAAAGGCCTGCGCAAGGCCCTCAGAGAAGTGAGTAACATACACCCCCCTGTCCTGGGGCAACCTGCAGCTTTATTGCTCACAGCCCTGGGAAGCAGCCCGAATCCTGACCCCTTTCTTGTTCTTTCTCCTTCTTTCTTCCTCTTTGCCCTTCCCTCCCTCCTGGTTTTCTTCCCTTCTTTTTGAGAGGTGTATGTAACTTAGAGACAGCAAAGCGCACAGATCTTAAAGGTGAGACTTGATGACTGCTTGCCTGTGCTTACACCCATGTCACCATCAGCCCATCAAGACAACACCTATCCACCACCTGGAAGCTTCCCTTGTGCCCCCTCCCAGTCAGCATCTCCCACCACCACCACACTATTGTGACTTTTATTACCATAGATTAATTTTGCCTGTCTTCAGACTTCATAGAAAGCTTTCCCAGTTTTACAGTTAAGGAAACCGAGGCTCAGAGGGGTGAAGCAACTTGTCCCAGTTTCCCCAGCTTCTTAGAGGCAGAGCCCGGAGGTGAGCCCATATCTGTCTGCCTCTGCCCCATGGGTCTTCTCATCACCCTTGTTAGTGACAGGAGGAATCAGGCCCATAGGTCCCGAGACAGCAGTAGATCGACAAAAAACTTTTATTGCCCCTCCAGGTAGGTTGATTTCTGGCTGTCCGTTCACCTTTTAAAATCAGTTCAGCCCCAGGGGTGCCTGGGTGGCTCAGTTGGCTAAGCATCCAGCTGTTGATTTCGGCTCAGGTCATGATCTCAGGGTCCTGGGATCGAGCCCCGTATCAGGCTCCACGCTCAGTGGAGTCTGCTTGAGATTCTCTCTCTCCCTCTGCCCCTCCCCCCTTAAATAAATAAATAAATCTTAAAAAACAAAAAATCCTTTCAGCCCAGCCATTAAAGTTAGCTAGCCTTGGCAGGCATCTGCAGGTGGGCTGTGGGCCGGCTTGCAGCGCCGGCCTGGGGTAGCAGGAAGCCAACAGGATTGGAACATCTGCCTTGCATTCACAAGGTGGCAGTCGGGGCCTCGTTGGGTAGGCGGCACAGGTGGTGGAACTGCATTTATCTGGCCGCCCAGAGCCCTTTAGGAAGGCACCTGGGAGCAGTGCGTTCTAGCCTTACGTAACCAGACCGGCCGAGCTCTGCAGGCTTTCTGTCTCTCCTGAGCACCTCAGCCCCTTTGTTCTACGTGGCACTAGGTAGCCTGGGCTCTGTGAGCTGAGAGAGGCCCCCTGGGGGCTTGAGGGTGAGCTCACCTTGGTGCCATACCTGGGATTCACCTCTTTTCTGTACTGAGGTCACCTCCAGAGGATTGCCAGGGGATGACATCATCCCACAATCCCTCAGTGATGTGCTGAGGCCCCGCCTCCCAGGTGGGAAAGGTGAGTAGCTTCAAGGAAGAGTCTCCCTTGTTTGGGAAGGGAAGGCAGGGTCTCCTCTCCATGAGGGTCTGTTAATCATCCAGCGATCTCATCCCTCAACAACCCTTTGGAGTTGCTAATCAAGGCTGGCTGGCGTAGAAATGGGGCTCTGAAGGCTGAGGAGGAGAATTTGGCTGTGGAGATACTCCTCTTCCGGCATACCTCCTGTGGTCCTGCTTGCTCCTCTCCCACTGGCTCATTTGTTCTTTTTGTTCCCTGATAGGGGCCAATGCTATGAGCCTGCCAAGCACAGGCTCCTATCTTCCCGCCCCACAGCCTGTGTGTGACCTCAAGAGAGCCAGCCCGCCCCTCCCTCCCTTTTACGCCCTTGACCCTAGATGTTGAGAGCGAGAGCTGGGGAGATAGCATGAGCCCTGGAAAGCCTGGGTCTCAGGCAGAGAGCAGACAAGCCCCAGGTGACTTTTTGAGCCCACTGTTTCTTAATTGAGCATCAGCTACATCACGTTAGGGGCTAGGAGCATAAAGACAGGGTCTGAGTAAAAATGCCCTTGCTGTGGCCACTCTTTCCCAAAGATGAGGCTATTTACAGGGCTTCCTGGGAGTTGAATTGCTTAGAGCTGCAAGCCTTTATTCTATAGCCTGTGGATAGGACCCTGGTTAATGCTTACAATAGCCACAGCCCAGCCACTTCAAGCTGCCCCCATAGCTGTTCCCTAGGCCAAGCCTCTAGATTCCGTTCCTTCTCCCCACTGGGAGTGCTCTGGGATTTAGGAGTGGGCTTCAGACGCGGCCATCCAGTGTCTACTCAGCAGCTCCTCGGGGATATCTCCAAGACACTTCGAGCTCAGCATAGCCACGTGGAACTCGGCACCTTTCCCTCCCCACTGCTCTTCTTCCAGGGGCTCCCAGTCCAACAGAGGGTTCCAGAAGGAACGTGGCAGTCTGCCTGCATGCCTCCGTCGCCCCACCCCCACACCCCATCCAGCAGCGAGTCCTGCCCGCTCTAGCATGCCATATCTTCCGTCCCTCCCTCCTGTCCAACCCCCCACACACACCCGTCCAGGCCGTCATCTGTCCCCTGCACCACTGCCTCAGCCTCCCGTGTGGTCTCCCCAGAGACAGTGGCCCCTATAGTCTGTTAAAGTGTAAGCCTGACCGTGCCGCTGCGCTCAGGAGGTGAAGGCCTTCCCAGGGCCTCCGAGCCCGCCTGACACAGCCCCTCTCCATTCTCCAGCTACAACACGAACCCACTTCCCTCTGCTCTACACTGCGACCACGGTGACCTTCGCTCAGTTCCCCAAATCCGCCACTTCCAGGCCTCTGCGCACACTGTCCCGGGGATTCCCCTCCCTCTTTGCTGGGACAGCCTCCTCATCCCTGAAGCCTCAACTCCCATCTCCTCAGAGAAGTCCCTCTGGCCCACCCTCCCCAGAGGTCGGTGGCCCTGTTCATCCCTCCCGTGGCACCCCACAGCTTTCGGACAGTGTGACAATCATAGCTGGTGGAAGGTATCTCTTTAGGGGGTGAGCAGTGTCTGTAAGGTTGAGGAAGGCAGAGATCACGTCTGACTGGTTACCCACTGTCTTTAAAGCCTGACAGGTCGTAGGCACTCCAGAAGTATTTGTTGAATAAATTCATGTTGCTCACAGATCCCAGTGTGGTGCCCTTGTCCTGGAGAGCAAGGTGGCATGGCTGTCCCTGGAGTACCCTGCCCCCACACTGGGCCTCTATTCACAAAGATGCCCACGTCCCTATCCCTGAGACCTGTGAGTGTGTCACCTTACGTGGCCAAAGGAATTTTATAAATGGGATTCCGTTGAGCATCTTGAACTAGGGAGATGACCCTGGGTTTTCCGATGGGCAAAGTGAACTGACAAAGTTGCTCTAAGAGGGAGTTAGGAGGTCAGAGAGGAGTGAAGATGCCATGTGGCTCTACTGTGTTTAAAGGTGGAGGAGGTGCTGTGAGCCTAGGCAGCCTCTAGAAGCTGAGAAAGGCAAGACAATGGATTCTGCCCTGGAGCCTCCAGAAGGAGCACAGCCCTGCAGACCCGTGTTACGCCCCTGTTCCAGGAGTGCAAGATAACAAATGTGTGTTGTTTTAAGCCACCAGCTTTGTGACAATTTGGGGCAGCCACAGAACACTAATAGATCAGTCTAGTCATGTCTCCAGCCTGGTGCTCGCCCCAGGGCTTTATGAGCGCTGGACACTGAGGATGACCACCCAGGGAATCCCCCTTTCCCGGTTGAGTGGGAGGGGGCTCAAGAGAGTAGGTAGTAAAAAAAAAAAAAAGAGAGAGTAGGGAATAAGGCACCATGTGCCTGGTGCTGCCAGGCCCTGATGCCTAGTAAGACTCCCATTTCTCAAGTGTTCAGACACCCCATTAATAGTGAGTGGTATTATCCCATTTAACAGGCAGTTCACAGAGGTGAAGTTACCTGCCGAGTTCACATAGAAAGTGGCAGAGCCAGGATTGGAACTTGAATGTGTCTGACTCTGAAAGTATCCCTCTTCTTCTAAGTGGTAAAGCCAGCATTTGGAGAGGGCCCTCCAGATGGGAGCCCTGATCCCCTATGCCTGAGCAGGCACGCGCTTCCCAAGATGGGAGTTCTAGTTATTTGAGCAGTGGTCACCAAGGGAAATGGCCCCTGGCTGGCCCCTGCAGCTAGGATGGTGCCCCATCTCAACAAAGGCTTCTGTACTTGTCTCCCTTAGCGTGAATGAGCTCTACGTTGATGACCCGGACAAGGACAGTGGGGGCAAAATTGACGTCAGCCTGAACATCAGTTTACCCAATTTGCACTGTGAACGTGAGTATTCCCGACAGCCCTCTGCTCCAGTAAGACCCCTCCGTTAGGCAGAGCTGGGTGTGCAGAAATGACGAGATGACCAGGACAAGTCAGCAAACCGGGCAAGCTGCAAATAGCAGGTAGCATAAGATTCTCCTTACTCTTTTTTGGGGGGGAGAATGTAATCAACTGTGCATGCATTTGCAGAGTTTCTGGATTACAAAACCCATGAGATTGCTAACAGGGATTCCCTCTGGAGAGTAGCCACATTGGTGTGTTGGGGGCTGTCTCTCAGGTCAGGTTCCCAAGAAGCAGAGCCTAAGATTTTCTGCAAGTGAGTTATTGAGAGAGGGCTCTCAGAGGAACTGGAAGGGTGTGGGGGATGTGAAAGGACAAGCAGAGATGTATGTTCAGGGGAGGTCTAATCACATCCTGATTTCATGGAGCTCTGTGGCATATGCCAGAGTTTGTCCTACCCAGTAACAGGGGGTCCGGGCTATTATTACTCATATCCCTGGCTGAAGGCTGCAGGGTGATGTGCGGGGGAGGGGCAGGAAAGGGGGTCACATAACCCCTCAAGCATCTCGAGGCAAGGAGACCTCCCACCAGCCAAGAGCAGTCACCTGGAGAAGGATGCAGCTCTGAGCTGTTAGCAGCTATCGGGAAACTTAGTTTTTTATTCCATACTCTTGTTTGTGTCATTTGTTTTAACTGAGAGAACGAATTACTAGTATAAAACAAAATGCATTGGAAGTCTGGCTCTTTTGCCCACTAAGACTGTGTGACCCTGGCAAAGGTATGACCTCTCTGAGCCTGTTTCCTCATCTGTAAAAATGGGTTTAGTGCTGTCTATTGCCTGAGGTTTCTGGGAGGGCCTGATGAACTGGTTACTAAACTTATCAAGTGGACTGTGTGTCCCCTCCTGGACTGCGGTTTTAGTGTCCCTTTGCCCCAGCCTGGCATGTAACCCGATGTGGACCCTTCTCCTGCCACCCACTCCCTTCCTCCTGAAGGACAGAACATCGAGTGTGTCTGCGGACAGAGATAGGGAGCGATTCAGTTCTGTTATTGCTTCTGGTGAGAATTACATCACAATTTTGAATCCACAGTGGGCCCTGAGCCAGGGAACCTGTTGAAATAGGTCAGTTTTATTTTTATTTTTTCTCTTTCTCTTAGAAAAATAATTCATCTGGCAGCTATTCATTCAGGAGTTGGTTGTGTCTCTGGAACAAGGAAATTCTTAGGCCAGAGGACTGGGATGATCGGGACGGGGGAGGGAAGGGATGTGGTTCCAGGCTCGGTCCCAGTGATGGGCCGTGGCGGGGCAACCTCAAGCTTCAGGCTGCATCAGCGCACTGTGCCCCATACCTGCAGGGCCATAATCTGAACCCAGGCGGCTCCCGCTTGAGCCCCGCACCCTGGCTTCTCTTTAAAGGAACTTCACATTTTTTTTTTTAAAGATTTTTATTTATTGATTTGACAGAGAGATAGAGAGAGAGAACAAGTAGGCAGAGAGGCAGGCAGAGGGAGAGGGAGAAGCAGGCTCCCCGCCGAGCAAGGAGCCCGATGCGGGGCTCAATCCCAGGACCCTGGGATCATGACCTGAGCCGAAGGCAGCTGCTTAACCAACTGAGCCACCCAGGCGCCCCAACTTCACATTTTTATTAGAGAAAAAAATGCACGCTCATCATTGTACCTTTGGAAAATCCGGAGCAACAGAGAGAAGAAATCCATAATTCCACCCAGTGTCCTTTGACATTTGACACCATTCCATCCCGTTGGCCTTCCTTTCTGTGTGTTTCTAAACACAGCTGAGATCACGCTGTATGTGCAATTTCATAGCATGCTTTAAAAAGTAACATTTTATTGTGAACTAATACAGGAATATATTTTTTACTTCAAAAAAAATCATATTCAAAATACAAAAGAAAATGTATAAAGAAAAAAGTAAAGGAAATACATGTTCCCTGGGGTGCCATCCACCCCAGAGGAAGCTTCTACTAATAGTTGGGACTCCTTCCCTACCCCTCTGTGTGTGTCTGTCTGTCTGTCTCTGTCTGTGAACACATACCATGTTTAGGTGGGGATTTTTTTTTTTTTTTTTTTTTTGGCTTTTTCCTTTTTACATAATTGGGACTCAACTACCTGGGACCTTTCTGGGGTTTCTTGTTTTTTTTCTACTAATATCTTGGAGCTGTTCTTATATTACTCATAATATTAGTAAGATGATAACCACAACTGCCATTTATTCTACTCCTACTGCAATCTAGGCTCTGTCCTGAATTCTTTGGCTGTGTTAGTGCGTTAAGATGAGAGATGCTCTAGCAGAGTGACCAAAGGGTATGTCCTCTGGATTAAAACTCTGTGGGTTCCAATCCAAGCTCCATTGTTTCTTAGCTATGAGATCTCAGGCAAGTTACTTAACCTCTCTGTGCCTTTGTATCCCCCCATATAGAATGGGTCTGATAATATCTTCCCCACAGGGATGCTCAGATGGTACATTCTTACATTAAAAGCACTTAGAAGGGTGCCTAGCACATAGTAAGTCCTGTTTTAATTTTTTTAATCTTCGAAAGCTTCAGATAGAGGAGGAAACTGAGGCACAGGAAGGTTAAGTAACTTGCTCAAGGTCCCACAGCTGGGAAGGGGCAGAGCCAGGAACCACAGAAGGTGGCAGGCCCAGAGCCCAAGCTCTTAGTCACTGGCCTGCTGTGAGCCGCCTCGCCTCGCATGTAGATTTTGCTCTCTCCGTGTACCTGCTGCACAGCATTCCAGAGGGGGCTGTTCCATTGACCAGTCCCTGTTGACAGGCAGCTGGGCTGCCTCCAGTGGTCACAGTTTCAAATAAAGTTGCCCAGAGCAGCCTTGCACACACGTCTGGACATGTGTGCGTCTGGAGAACAGGCTCCTAAGGGTGGAGCTCCTGAGTCAAACAGGGATCTGTTTGCATTTCTTTTAAATCAAACATTACGGCATCAGCATTTCCCACATACTACAGACCCATGAGCATCATTTTTAATGACTACATCACATTTCCTCCTATGGATGGGGCCTCACTTGCTTCCCCATCTCCACCGAGGAATACAATTGTTCCCATTTTTCCCTTTTGGGGTTGGCTCACATAAAATTGCTTCCAGCTATTCTTTCTCTGTGTTACAACCTCCTTTCCAGGGCTTCTTTCAGGGAATCTTATGCGTTTTCATAGTTTACAAACCCATGCCCCTTAGACCTTCTCAGGGAATGCATTTGGTGTGGGCCTGCCCATTTTACAGATTGGGAAGCTGAGTCACAGGTGGAGAGTCACATTGGAGGCAAAGACCAGGATTCCCGGGCCCCAGGTTTCCCATTCGGTGCACTAAGGAACCCAGAAAAGTGCCCGAGCTCCAGGAGGGCAGGGTCTGCCAGAATAGACATTGGGTAAAAGAAGGTGTGAATGAATGAATGAATGATGAGTAAAGCGAATGAATGACTGCCTGGACCTGTTCGCCCAACAAATCCAGAGACTGAGACACATTAAATGCCACCATTCTTTAGGCACTTGCCATGTACTATGCGTCAGACCCCGTTCTAAGCACTTTCTACACACATTCATTATTTAATCTGCATAATTCTCCAAAGAGGGTCTAATTATTATCACCCCCATTTTCCAGAAAAAGAAACAGGCATCAAGGGGTTATGTGCCTTGGCCAGGGTTGAAGAGCTGGTAAAAGGCAGGGCCAGGATTTAGACAACCTTTGAACCCCAACCCTCTGCTTCTCCCTGTAGCCTGGCTAAATTTAGCAGGTGCAGTCATCACCTCTGCAGCCCCACTAGCTGCTACCTCCCCCAGCTCTTTCCCCTCTTCCTTTGCAGCCCCAGGCAGTGGCAGGGACGGGACCTTGTGGGCTTGCTCCCTTTTAGTCCAGCCATCACCTTCTCCTCCTCCTCTATTGGCTCTGGGCCCCAGACAGTGAGCTCCTAGATGGCCTGGGGCCCACCTGTCCATGGAGTGGATGAGGGGGCAGGGGTCCAGGGAGGAGAGGGCTGGCCCCACCCCCACTGCTCTGGGCATTTGTGACTCTCTCCTCTCCTTGCCCCCTGCAGTGGTCGGGCTTGACATACAGGATGAGATGGGCAGGCATGAGGTGGGGCACATCGACAACTCAATGAAGATCCCACTGAACAACGGGGCCGGCTGCCGCTTTGAGGGGCAGTTCAGCATCAACAAGGTATGGAGACCTGCATGGGCCCTTTGACCCGCTCCCTGTCCCTTTGGTCCCCTTCCTCCGAGAAACCGATGGTAGAGCTGTGCACTCCTTTGGCCTCCCCCACCCACCCACCTTCACCCCCCCCCCCCCCCCCCCCCGCAGCCAGAGCCTAATAAGCATCAGGATGCCTGGTGTTTCCTGCTGAGAATCTGGGTGGGGGTTCCAGGTTCCCCGAGGCATGGAGCCCCTGCTGGCTGGTTCAGGAAGGGGCTACTCTTCTTCCCAAGAGGAAAGGCAGTGGGTGGTGAGAAGACCATGGAATATACAGCCCTGAGTGTGTGTCCCAGCTCTACTTCTCTTGGCCAAGCAGCACTCTCCAAGTCACTGCGCCCATCTTAGCCATCTTTAGGGGGAGGGTGTGATGATGGTAAGAATAGAATGATACCACCTGGTTCACAAAGTTTGTATGAGGATGAAATGAGCTATTACACATTCATCCAAAAAACGTTTATGAGACACTTTCTGTGTTCTAGGGCGGGCTCTCGGCTCTGGGGCCGCCCAGAATAGGTGGAATGGACTGGAATCGGTGGAATAAGGGGGCAGAGTTCCCGTGCTCGTGGAGCTTCTGTGCTGGTTGGGGGGAGACAGACAGTATAAAAACTGAGAAACATTGCAGCGGGTGGGTCGTAGGCGCTGTGATGAGGAAGAAAGCGGGAGAGCGGGGTGGTTTGAAAGTACCTGGTAGGCTCCAAAGGACCACTCAGGCATTACTGCTGTTTTGTTGCTAGAACCAGGAACTTGAGATCCTGAGCCAAGGATGTGAGCAAGTGCATTTGGGAGCGCCGGGGAATCCCGGCGGGAACCGGCAGAGGTTGCCCCACACGCGCCGCACCCTTTTCAGCTCTTCTTACGAATTTTCACAGGGGAGCCTCTCAAGAACCCCGTGAGGTGGCACCATGTTACAGATGAGGAAACTGAGACCCAGAGAGGTTGAGTGTCTTGCCCAAGATCACACAGCTATCTCCCGTGTTCCATAGCTCCCCTTCCCAGTCCCACCAGACTGGGCCATTGGCCACTCCTGGCTTCTGCTTGCCCCCTTGTAGCCTCTGTCAAAACAGCCTGCCTCTGGTCCCTGGCATCTGAATCAGGCATTGCGAACTCACTGGCCTCACCCAGCCCAAAGACAAGTTATGTTTGTCCCCTCCAGCTTTCAAACATGTCAGAGCCAATATCTAAAGATTGGGAATCCAGGGCGCCTGGGTGGCTCAGTTGGTTAAGCGACTGCCTTCGGCTCAGGTCATGATCCTGGAGTCCCGGGATCGAGTCCCGCATCGGGCTCCCTGCTCGGCGGGGGGTCTGCTTCTCCCTCTGACCCTCCCCCCTCTCGTGCTCTCTCTATCTCATTCTCTCTCTCAAATAAATAAATAAAATCTTTAAAAAAAAAGATTGGGAATCCAGATTTCTGGCTCTTCAAAGTCAGAGGTTCTAGCCACCCTGGGCCCACATCCCATTGGCGACTGCCATCTGGATCCAAGGGTCTGCCTGTTTAGACAGGGCATGTGCCCTCCTTCCCACAGTTCCTGCTGGGTGTCTGCAAGGTGTGACACTGGTGTGACTGGGCCTGTCTCTGCCCATTGTAGTCTTAGAGCCTCTCCTCTTCACATGGCCACCGTGTGTGTTCTTTCTGGCAGAGTGGCCTTCTTCCATGAGAGCTCAGGGCTCCCTGAAGTGTGAAAGTAGAGAATGTTCCTTGTGCCACATTTTTGGGGTTAAACTAAGTCACAGGGTCAGTGCTGTGCTCCATGATTCAGGTTTTATGGTGGTGATGGGAAACCATGTGAGAGTTGTAAGCGGGGAAGCAATGCAATCGGATTTGTGGTTTAGAACTATACTATCCAATATGGTAGCCATTAGCAGTGTGGGCTATTTAAATTTAAATTCCTTAAAATTAAGTAAAATGAAAAATTCAGGCTTTCAGTCTCACTAGTCACATTTCAAGGACTTTATTAATAGTGGCTATCATATTAGTGCTCTATACCATTTTTTTTTTTAAAGATTTTATTTATTTATTTGAGACAGAGAGAATGAGATACAGAGAGCATGAGAGGGAAGAGGGTCAGAGGGAGAAGCAGACTCCCTGCCGAGCAGGGAGCCCGATGCGGGACTCGATCCCGGGACTCCAGGATCATGACCTGAGCCGAAGGCAGTCGCTTAACCAACTGAGCCACCCAGGCGCCCAACTCTATACCATTTTTATCATCAGAGAAAGTTCTGTTGGACAGCAAAACTTCAGAAAGCTCACCGTGACAGCTGTGGGGGGAGCACAGTGGAGGGGGCCAAGAGCAGAGGTCATGGTCCATGGTTGTGCAGCGGAGTTGGATAGAAGTGGTACGATTAGGGATGTGGAGTCAACAAGACTTACTGATCAGTTGGATGCGGGTGGTGAGGGCAAGAGTGGAATCAAAGCAACCTCTTAGTTTTTGTCTGAACAACCAGGGGGTCCCATTTTCTAGATAGAGAGGCTTGGATAAGCATGGATTCTATGGGCGATGGGGCTGGGAAGCAGTCCTTCAATTCTGGATGTGTTTCATTTGGGATTGGAGGTGTGTTTCTGGGGTTCAGGAGAGTGTTCTGAGCTGGAATGTGAATGCGGGAGTCCTCAGTGAATAGATGATGTTGGCAAAGGGTCCATGGCACCAAAATGTAAGAACCCAAGGTCTTTTTTTTTTCCTTTAAGATTTTATTTATTTATTTTGAGAGAGAGAGGCAGAGCAAGAGAGCACGAGCAGGGGGAGCTGCAGAGGGAGAGGGAGCTGAGCAGAGAGCTCCCACATGGAGCTTGATCCCAGGACCCTGAGATCATGCATAACCTGAGGTGAAGGCAGACGCTTAATGACCGAGCCACCCAGGTGTCCCAGAAACCCAGCGTCTTGATGCAAATGTGGTTTGAGGACTGATTTCTGGTACACTCCAGCTTTGAGGAGTAGGGAGATGAGGGGGTGATGAAAGGTGGGAGAAGGGGCAGCCAGGCAGGTAGGAGGGAACCCGGCCTAGGCAGGCCCTACAATCTAGAAGAGAATATCAATCAAGGAGGAAGGCTGGTGCTGCATGGGTGGGGTGGACTGCTGACCCGGGAGCTGCAGGGAAAGCAAATGACTTTCGCTGTGCAGGGCTGCCGCACAAGCAGGGCCTTGGGAAGCACAGAGGGCCTGGGGTCCGGGCTGCCGTGGAGGGGGGGCCTTGGAGAGGAGAGGGTGGGGTCTGGGCTTGCAGGGAGCTGGGTGAATTGGCGGTGGGCCCAGGCTCTTGCTCTGCCCGCACCTATGCCCCTGGAGAACTGCTGCTCGTCCACAGACCTCCTTGACGTGGGTCCCTCCGGAGTCCCTCCTTCCCCTTCCTCTGACTGCCTCCTCCGTTATGCCCCGTGTGCTACCGTCCACTTCACTGCTTGACTTCTTTTGACCATTGTCCCCCGCCCCTTGCTGATGAACTCACGCATCTTGCTATTGAGTGTCGCTGTGTGCGGGGCTCCACACTTGGCACAGGGACGCAGTGCTGAAAGAAACAGCTATGGTCCCTGACCTTGGCAGCACTGTAGTCGACTGTGGGGTGATAGCCAACCCACAGCTAAACACTCAAGCAAATGTGTAATCTCGATGAAGCAGCCGTGAAGAGAATGAAGAGGGTGTTATGGTGGGGAATAAGGGAGGAACCCCACTGAGATAGGGGCATAAGGGAAGGCCTGTCCGAGGGGTGACAGTTGAAGATGAGGAGACACGCACAACTCCCAATTGTGGGGATCTCCCCTCGGGGGTATGATCAGCTGGCTTAAACAAATATTTATGCCCCAGACAATGAGCAAAGAAGGGCCCCTGTTGGCTCCCAGCGTGGGGTGGACACAAGAGAAGCAGGACCACCACCCAGGAGATAGCCCAGCACCACACCCTCCTCCCCTTGGCCAACATGCCCAAGGCGGCAGTCAGCTCCCCTCAGATAGGCTGTGGTCGAGAACCCTGGCTACAGTGCTCACTGAGCGAAAGACTCTGGGCATTTGAGCCTCTCTGAGCCACAGTGTCCTCATCTGTAAAATGGGGATATTAGTACTGCCCTCTCAGGTTGTAAGACATGAGCAAATTAAGATACAAAGCACTTAACGCCGTGGGAACGGGGACACGCGTCGGTGCCCCTTCCCTGGCCTGCCTCATCTCCCATCAGTGGCAGCATCCATGATTTCACCAGCTGGCACCCACTGTCACCTGGGTACAAGTGTACTCATAAAATGTGCATGGATGTTGTTCAAGAAACGGGTCTTCTCTGGTCGGGGAGGGCCGGGGATTCTAGGAGAGTGTCACGCCAGCCACCTATTGGGTTCCTCCTGGCCCTCTCCCAGATTAACCTATTTAGTCCTCGTAACAGCTCTGAGGAGACGGAGGCGTAAGAAATGAAGTAGGATTTGAACCCAGGCAGCCTGGCACCAGGCCCTTGTACCGCCCCTCCCCATCCCCTATCCCCTCGTTCCTTCTCCTTGCCAGCATCTTGATCACGTGAGCTATGACCACTTGTGTCCGTTCACTCCAGGTCACAGCTCAGGCCACCCTCCACCCTTGTCCCCTTGCAGGGAGTGGAGACCCCCACTCTCCCTTGTTCCGGGTGCATGCCTCCTAGGAGCTCTCAGACAGAGGGTGCTCGCTCGACAAGAAAGCCAGCAGCCACAGTGTGCCCTGATGATGGGCGAGGTTAGCCCCTGGCCCCCACCCCCTTCTGTCCCAGCATCAGGCTTACACTTGCCCCATGGCCTCCTTATCTGTCCATCAGGAAGTCAGCCAGCAGTCAGACGTCCAAGGGCGCATGTTCCAAGCTGCACTGGCAACCCCGAGCAGCCCAGACTGCTCGCTGAATCACCCAGCCCCCAGGAGGAGGGCAGGATGGGCCCAGGTTTGGGGCCTGGCTCCATCTATATGTTTCTAAAATCTATCAGAGACACTGACGTAGGTGCCTAAGTCACAGGCTCTAAAAGCGTCATCTTTTCTTTCTGCAGCCCAGCATGTGCTGGTATGAGTCAGCCACCTGTGATGGATTCCTTGTGTTGGGGTGGGGGGTCACTGAGTCACAGCCTCGCGGGGAGACAGCGGGTGGCAGATGCGCGGGAGCCAGCCTCCTTGACTCACTTAACTCTGGGAGCGTGAGGCCCAGGCTCCAAACCCTATTCTGAACTCTGCCCACCGGCGGCCCCATGTCACTGCATGGAAAAACTCCAAAGCACCCATGCCTGACGCTATTGGTTTCTTACTTCTGGAGGTGATAGACACGGGGCCTGTAGTCCTCACTTTATCGTGTGAATTTTTTTTTTTTAAGATTTTATTTGTCAGAGAGAGAGAGAGAGAACTCACAAGCAGGGTGAGTGGGAGAGGGAGAAGCAGGCTTCCCGCTGAGCAAGGAGCCCGATGTGGGACTCAATCCCAGGACCTTGGGATCGTGACCTGAGCCGAAGGCAGATGCTTAACTGGCTGAGCCACCCCAGCGTCCCTGTGAATTTTTTATAATACAAGGGTGTATAGTTAATTATTTATATAAGTAAAAATGAAGTTAAGAAATCGTTTTGAGATACAAGTGGGCTTTTCCCCATGCCCTGCCTGTGTACATGCTGTTCTGAATTCTGGGAGAGTCCTTCTGTTCTTGGGTCCTTGTTCTGATGATGAACATGTTCATCCTAGGAACCCAACCCAATAACAGCTACCATCGGCTTTGCCCTCCTCACCTCCTTTAATCCTCCTAATAACCCTTTGTGGTTATCATCTCCATTTTGCCGGTGGGGAAATTGAGGCACAGAGAGGTTACTGACCTTGCCCAAGGCACCCCACCTGGAGGGCGGGGCCCGACTGGAGTGTAGAACTCAGCTGCTCCTCTACCATGTGGCTCCTGAAGCCCACATCCCAGACTCCATTCTAGCCTGACCTGTGAGCTGAGGCCGGGCCATGCCTGTCAGCCTGGTACCTTACACATCAGTCCGCAAAGCTCAGGCCCTCGTGAAGACGGGAAGATTCCTAGAAGCCCACAACTTTGTGTTTGAAATAGGCATGCTTACAAAATAAGCAGACTTTGATGAACTGCTGCTAAGCCAGAAGCTATAAGCCATATTCCTTCCTTTGATGTAGCTTACCAAACCTTCATTGAACTGGAATAAAATAAACTCTGTTTTTCAGCATGGCATGTGGGGCCTTTACTGAACAGCCCCATCTCTCTCTAATGCCTCTTTGTTTCCGGATGCTACCACCCCCTGGAGGCCGTTCTTTTATTCTGGGTTCAGTAGTACCAAATTCTTCTAATTCCTTACACATGCCCACCAACTGGACTGGGCAGTTTCTGACCTCCATACTTGTTCATGCTGTTCCATCTGCCTACATGCCTTTCCCCCCTGTTCCCTAGTAATGCAGACTCATTAGCACAAGAGAGTCCTTTCTGCTGAGAAGCCCCCTCTGAACCCTCCCAACTGAATTGGGGGCTCTCCCCATGGCCCCCACAGTCTATATATCCCTCTGGTCCAGTGTGGGTCATGCAGTCTCATTTTCTGTTCCAGGCTCTTGTCTGGGCCATCTTCCCAAACCTAGCACGTCCCAAGGGATGGCTACATGTGGCCATCAATCCAGGGCTGCTGAGGTACATGGTGAGAGGGAGGATCATGTCCCGCTTCAGTGTGCCGAGTCTAGAGTCCCAGCAGCCATGAGTTCAAATCACAGCTCTTGACATGTTCCTTAGCAAATGTCTTCACTACTCTGAGCCTCAGTTTTCTTTTCTGTAAAATGGGAATTACCAGATGTCAAAGTCAAAATCGTTATTTTAAGAATTAGTGCCATTCATCCTTTGTTCATTCATCCAGTACCTATTTTGCGGGCATCTGCCAGGGTCTGGGGAGTGCAGATCAAATCGGACACAACTCCCCACCAGCGTGGAGCCAACGTTCTCTGGTGAGGAAGCAGAATAGAACAAGATAAAGATCAGGTGGCCTGTGCTGGTTTGGGGAAGGGGGGTTGGGAGGCTCCCTGAGCAGAGGCCTGAGGGAGACCAGGGAGAGCCACGTCAAAGAGGGTTCCAGGAAGGGGTCGCAGGCACACAGGACCACACTGACACCGTTCCCGGTGTCACAGGGAGGCTGGCATGGCCAGGGGGAGTACACAGAGGAGGATGTGAGCAGAGGAATGACATAATCAGATTTAGGTTCTAAAGGACCTCCCTGGCTGCTGTTGGGGAAAGGCCTGGGTGTGCCAAGGCAGAAGCTGGGAGCCCAGTGGGGAGGCTGCCCCCACTGTCCAGTCCAGGGGAGCAGTGGGGGCTTGAGAAGGTCAGGTGCTAGGCATCATGAGGGTGGAGCGGAAGGCCTTTCCTGGTGGGCAGGAGGTCAGGTGTGAGGGAAAGACGGGGCCAAGATGATACCAAGGGTTTGGCCTGAGTAGCTTGGTAGAGGAGGGGCCTTTTGTTGCCACAGAGATGCCTCAGCAGAATCCAGGGAGACCCAGGGAGGAAAGGAGGCCACCATAGCCCTGCCTTCAAGGATCCCCTAGTCTGGGGTGGTGGGGCAAATGTGGGTGAGTAGTAGTGTTGATTTGGATTTTGAGGAGGTTCAGTTGGTCCGTGGGCCTAAAGGTTCAACCCACCATGGGGCCAGCAGCCGGGAAGTAGCTGGTGGGTAGCTGCCATTTCGAGCCCTGGCCTGGGCCAGGTGCCCAGCTGTGTTCTCTCACCCCATAATCCCAGCAGCCCCCTCGGGTAGCTTCTGTTCCTGCCCCCGTTCTACAGACAAGTGGCCTGAGGCTCAGAGAAGGGCAGTAGCTCCTCCAAAGTCCCATGGCTCGGACCACGCTGGGATCCCGATCCAGATCTGTCTGACTCCAGGGTGAAGACCTGCCCCCCACCTTTGGGGCAACCAGCTAGACTCCTGAAACTCGCATCTCTCCCCCAGGTCCCTGGCAACTTCCACGTGTCTACACACAGTGCCACGGCCCAGCCACAGAACCCGGACATGACCCATGTCATCCACAAGCTCTCCTTTGGGGACACACTACAGGTGAGCAGGGTACACACAGGTCGCGTGGCTGGGGGTGGGTGCACCAGGACTGTGTCACCTGGAGCCTTCTGTCCTCTCTGGGCACAAAGATAACATCTAGAGGGCTCACCCCCTCTGAGTCTCTGTCCAACAGCGCCTCTGTATTATTCCTTCGGAGCATGGGCCTGCAGTTTTGATAGTACCATGCCCTTGGACCCTTGGGTTGAGACCTGGAGGCTGGGGAAAGGGACGCTCTTTTCATGAGCCAGTACTAAGTGCTAGCACTTTCTCCATGCCAGTGAGGCCTTATGACGTATGAGGGGGCACCACGCCTTAGAGCTGTGGAGCTGGGCCCAGAGAAGCCACTTGTCTGGGGGTCCCCCAGCAGATCTGTCTGATGGCGGAGTCCAGCCTGGGTGCCTCTACAGCTCCTTCTGCCTTCCAGCCCAGTGCCCACGCCCACCAAGTAGGGGTGCCATGGTGAAGGAAGCCTCCTGACAGTCCTCGGTGAGGATGGAGAGAGCCACCTCCAGCAGGCCCAGCCCAGCAGCTTCCTACCCATGGCAGCCATGTATGGGAACCCAACACAAACCACCTGCTCTCCACCAGCTGCAGGCAGGGGAGCTTGGATGTTCTCTTTTCTCCACTACTCCCCGTAGTCCTGAAGGTAGATTCTGGAACTGAGGCCCAGAGTAGGGAGGTAACTGGTCCTGCCACAGTGCTGGGATCAGAACCCTGGGTCCGGCCACCAAGCCTTGCTCGATGAGAATCCTGGTTCCTGCTTAAGGATATTGGAGGGTGGGGTCCCCCCAGGGATGGTGGTGTGCACCTGGGGCTCACACAGGCCCACAAGCACAGCACACACACCATTACGCCATTTATGTGCATAGCCATCTGCTCAGACTCACGCACACACTCATGAGACACACGCTCAGACGTACACCCTGACACACGCGTGCTCGTACGTATACCGTAAGATCCATCCCTAAACACACACACCAAATGTACACACACCCAGACTCTTGCACAGACCCGGTGCGCACACACCACCCAGGGACGCGCACAGACTCACCCACGTTGAAACAGCTCACATACACACTCCTGCCCGCACTGCCCCACTCACATGGGCCTGCCAAGCACCATTCTTTATAAGCATGACCTTCTTTCACTCTCTTAGCAGCCCAAGAGGTGGGTACTTTATTGTCTCCATTTTACGGGTGAGGAAGTTGAGGCACGGGGAGGGTACAGTCCATTGCAGAGTCCGAGTTTGCATCAAGAGTCTGGCTTCGGGCCGCACCTCGGGCACCACCTCCCCCGTGAGCCCTCCGGAGGGCACACTGCGCCTCAGGCGCATGCACACTCTCACACCTCGTCTCTCCACTCCACATCGCCTCTGCTGCTCTCCCTGTGGGCACCTTGGGCCCAGCCTGAGGGGCCAGTCATCACCTGTCCAGTCCCTTGGGAGGCCACAGAGCTCTTCCTCTTGGAGACAGGGCTTGGGAACAGAGAAGGCCTGGCCACCCCGTGGGTGCCGTGAGCCAGACTCCCTGCCTACACACTCGGTGAAGCACAGCCTGCCCTGCGACTGTGGGCTCCCTTCACACAGGGTTCACCACCCACGGGGCCCCAGCTCTGCACTCAGGGTCGTTGTGTGTTGGCTCCCCAGCCTGCCTTTCCAGATCCAAGTCCTGGCTCCACCACGTACTAGTTGTGTGACCTTGAACAAATGATTTAGTCCTCCTGAGCCTCAGTTATCTCGTCTGTAAAATGGGGACAGTAAATAGTACCTGCCTCAGAGGCTTGTAGTGAAGATAAAATGAATTCCTGCACATAAAGCCCTTAGATCAGTGCCGGGCAGAGGGTAAGCAGTCAAGGAAATGAGCTCTTACCGCTGTTGTTGCTCTCTGTAACCTAACTCTGCACCAGGCCCTGCAAGACAAAGCAGCCATGCTCACACAGCCATGGAGAAGACAGAATGTGGGGTGGTCCCCACCCCCAGAGGGACGGGAGCTGACAAATCACAGGCAGGTGGTGGGCGGCAGGCCCTCCGTTATACTAAGCGCAGGGCAGTGCCCGAGCTGCCTTTAGACCCACCAGCTCGGCAAATCCTCACTGCGGCCCTGGGAAAAAAAGTCACTGTGAACTCCGGTGTGCCCAGGGGAAGACTGTCCAGGGTCACTCGGCTCTGCACAGCCAGAATTCAAACCCAGTCTTTGTACCAGGCCACACTCCTTCCACTTGGGAACTCTGGACGCCGGAAGCCTGCTCTTTCTTACCTAGAGAACAATGTTACAGGTGACCCCGTGTTTAATCCTTACAAAGACTCCCTTAAGGGTGCTGGATGGCATTTGTTGTTCCTGATGAGGAAACTGGGTCAGAGGGATTCAGTAACTTGCCCAAGGTCACACAGCTTATAAGAAACCAGGTATGTCTGGCCCCAGGTTTCCATTACTGTGCCTCATACAGTCATGGATTCATCAGACCTTGAAATTTCTGCTCCGTGCCAGGCCCTGGGGTTACATGATGGGTAAATGATACAGGACTCTTGCTCTCAGGAGAAGAGATCAAATAAATAAGCATGATCATATAGGACAAGGAGGGTTAAGGACAAGAGAGGCATGGGATTCTGGGCAGTGATATGGGAGCAGGGGCAGGGTTCCTCCTAGCCTGGGAAGTCAGAGAGGGCTTCCCAGAGGAGGGTGACCTCGCAGGTGACATGTAAGCCAGCCCCTGAAAGGTGAGAAGGATTTGGCCAACCTCACAGGGAAGTCTCATGGGCAAGGGGCATCTCACACATCTTCAACTCTATGATACATGCAGATGGTCATTTTCATATAAAAGGCCCTCAAGGTTCCTCTTAGAAAAAATGGGTCAGCAGATGTCCACATGACCAGAATGATGTTCTATAGCAAGGCCTGGGAAGTGAGTGCTCCTCAGAGTTGGAGAGGGTGCAGAAGAGTCCCTGAAGGGGAGCAGGGAGCTGAGTTTTACGGGGGGCGAGGGATTCGGGCAGGTGGGGCAGGTGGGGCTGACTGGGGCTGGTTGCTGTGTTGGAGCACCCACCTGCCGTGTGGAAGATGGGCCGTGAGGCCAGACCGGAGGTGAGGGAAGGGCTGCGGCCAGGGCCAGGGGAGATAGGGCAGCAGGGGGAAAGGAAGGGGACAGACGGGGAGGAGAGGGGACAGTCTTGTGTTGCTATGTGCCGCTGGCTGAACAAGACAGAAACAGCCTTCTGGCTGGTCATGATTATGGGCAAAATAGGATTTTCTTTAAATGAAAAAAAGAACTTAGCTGAGGTTCCATCTACCCATCCGTTATCCATCATCCATGTACCAATATTTATTGAGCTCCTGCTATGAACATTATGTGCCTTGTGCACATTGCTGAGGACGAGCATGGTCCCTGCCCATGTGGAACGTACAATCTAGAGGGGAAAACAAAAGTTAATCACATGATCATACAAATGAATGTGAGATAAAACCATGACACACTGACTATGGGAGGGAACATTCTAGCTCTCCTCTCCATAACCACCATCCTCTTGGGTTCAGATTGTCCTTCCCTAAGGCAGCAGTGGACAAATTTCCCTTTTCTTTGGGCTTGTTAAGAGTGTGCAGCTCTGTTAAGTGCTCAATAAACATCAGCCACCTGAGACAGGGATCAAGGACCAGGTCACCCAGCTGCTTCCCACTGTTCCTGAAGTGGCCCTCTCTGCAGGAGCCTGTCCCCACCTACCTCACCCCCTCCCCCTGGGGACACACGGGCTTCTGTTTATTCCTTGGTCTCCGGGGTCATGCTTCACAAATGCTGCTTGCCTGATTAACTTTCCACTTTCCTATAGATCTTAGTGTGTCTCTTCTTCCAGGAAGCCCTCCAGGGTGACTAGCTTGGCAATTCCTGTTAACCATACCCATGGTGGCATGCCCCATGTACCAGGCATGCCTTGCCCTGCTTTAGATTTTCCTGTAGCTGACATGGTTTCCCCTCATCCTCAGAGAAGAGGGAGGATGTGGCCCTCGGCCCCACTCTACATCAGGCCCTTTCAGGGGCCAGTTGCCGTGAGGAGAGGGCTCTTCACAGCTGCTGTATGTTCTCTGCAGTAGATACAGAAGGAGGCCAGCAGCCCTGGAGCCTCAGAAGGCTGTAGGGGATCTAAGGAGGCGTGTGCTGGAACCCAGATCCACCTTTACTTGTATTTCCAAAGTGTCTTAATGGAAAGAGCTCAGGCTTGAGGTCAGATACCTGAATTTGGAGCTTGGCTCAGCCATTCATCAGCTGTGTGACACTGGACAAGCTTCAGCACTTCTCCAAGCCTTGGTTCGCTCTTCTGTAAAATGGGCTCAACAGTACATCATTAGGGGCACTAAATGAGATGACTAGGAGTACGGCAGGATAGAGTGGTATATTACAGGGGCCCAAGATGGGAAGCAGGCTAGCGCCTACCACATGCCAGGCCTGGGCTATGTCGGTCTCTTGCTCCCTACAGCTTCTCTGTGGGATAGACCACGCTGGGTAAGGTCCCTACACCAGGTTGCACCTGGCCATCTCCTCGCGCGGCCAGGCCCAGGCCCAGAGGAAGTGGCATCCTGGGGTCAGTCCCCTTGCTGTGCTTCTCCACAGGTCCAGAATGTCCACGGAGCTTTCAACGCTCTCGGGGGAGCAGACAGACTCACCTCCAACCGTATGTATCCCATATCTCAACTGGGAACAGGGAAAGGGGGAGAAGAAGGGAACGCGTATCAAGCACTCACTGTAAGCCCAGCTGTGAATGCTCCTTTCCCACAGCGGGCCTCTGAGGAAGGTGGAATTAGCCCTATCTGACAGACAAGGGGAGGTAAGTGGCTTGTCCCCACCCTCCCCAGGGAAAGGATCTGACAGCCCCAGGCACATCATAAGAGCTCAGTGAGTACCAGCCATTATCATCATTATTGTTATCATTACTGCCGCCGAATTGTTCTTAGTTGAGATAATCACCTAAGATCCTGCAGGGAGCCATGGCGGAGCCCGAATTCGTCCTAGTTCCAGTGGCAGGCACCGTGAGAACAGGGCTGAGGGTGGCCCAGTCAGGTCTGACCACCTGGGGCGCCCACCCAACCCCACACTCTCCTCGGGCTGGAGCCCTTCCCACCCATGAACGCCCCCCCTCCCTGAGCCCTCCACCCGCTCAGCTCTCTGGCACCTCGGTCCCAACTAAGGAGGGCTCCGTGTCTTTACACACTGACACACCTATGCACGCCTGTCTGTGGCCTGATCTAAAGAATTTTTGCACACCTACACACGCACGTGTGCACACATACGGGGCCTTGGATGCATGCACAGAATAGGTTCAGGAGACTTGTCTGCTTAAATGGATCCACCCCCTGGATCTTGCGGCACAGGTGACCTTAACTTTCCTTATTTCCTCACCTGAGCTCACCTTTTTTATCCACAAGGGTTTTCTCACTGTTTCTTAAAATACATTCTGCTCTCGAGGCGCCTGGGTGGCTCGGTCGTTAAGCGTCTGCCTTCGGCTCAGGTCATGATCCCAGGGTCCTGGGATCAAACCCCGCATCAGGCTCCTGCTCAACGGGAAGCCTGCTTCTCCCTCTCCCACTCCCCCTGCTTGTGTTCCCTCTCTCACTGTCTCTGTCAAATAAATAAAATCTTTAAAAAAAAAAATACATTCTGCTCTCTGATGGTCAGAAATTCAAGCAAAAGAAAACATCTCTCCATGAGCGATCCCCCACCCTCAACAAATCACACTTTTCATTTCTCCATGTCCCTGTGAACCCTCAGCCATCAGCAGAAGTCATCGTCTCAAAGCCAGTGGATGACACTTGACCTTCTGGTTTTTGTCCTTGGCATTTTTACGTGACCACGGTTTGTGGACAGTGTTTCCAGTGGTGACGGAGGCGCGCCTGCCCATCTCGCACTCTGACATGCTTTATTAAGGCCTTGTCGTCTCGTGGAAAATGTCTGTTCCTAGTCTTTTACCATCACGGCAATGCTTGCGATATTTATGGTATTTGCTTTCCCTTGTCCCGTTGCTTTCCCTTGGGTGCGGGCCCATTCGCGCCACCTCCAGCAGCGTAGGAACACGCGGCGGGGCCTCCTTGTCTTCATGCGGATGTCTGATTCTGACAGAGGGAGATGATCCTTCCCATGTTGATGTTGGCGTCATTGTTGGTATAGTTCTGTGGAAGGGCCCACGTTGCCCCAAGGCGGTGGTCCACACCCGCTCGCGGTTGGCTCGGATACTGACACAGAACTGAGCTCGGAAGGACCCAGACAGTGTCAACCAGTAGAGCATCTGGGCAGAAAACCCTGCCTGCTCTAGGGCTCATGAGGAGAGCCATCTCAGGCTGGCTTCCGTGGAAAGAAAATGCATTAGATCAGACAACAAGCAGCCAAGGGTAGGGCTGGCTTTCATTCCCTCAGCCCTCCAGCTTGGCCTCCCTGCTGGGCCTTTTTGCCTTTGCTGCCCCTCTGCTCCCAGACCTTCCCAGTGAGGGCTGCTGCTTGTCATGTAGGTCTCAGCGCAAATGCCACCACCTCCAAGAGGCCCTCCCTGACCACCTTATCTAAAGGAACTCTCACTTCTAGTAACCGATTTTTCTTCCAGCACAGACCACTTTCTTTGCAGATACTGAGGAGTAACTGTGGATGTTTTAGCCGTGGTGATGATGACATTGTGGTTGTTGTGTTTTGATTTTTTTTAAGAGTCTTTATCTTTTATAGAAACATAACTAAAATATTTTTGGATGAATTGATGTGATGTCTGGGATTTGCTTCCAGATAAAACAGAGTAGGGTGAACGATGGGGTAGGGAGGAAGCAAAATCGACCATGTGTTGTTAATTGCTGAAACTGGGGAATGGGAGACCGGCGTGGGGAGGGGGGTTCATTATGGGAGTCCCCATTTTTTTTATGTGTTTGAATTTTTCCATAACAAGATGTTAGGAGGGAGGGAGGCTGCGAGCATAAAGTGTATGTAGGCCTGCCTGGATCAGGTCGGAGCCAGCAGCCCCTAGGAGGGATCCACTGACAAGGAGTCCACGTGGGTGGAATTAGGCACAATGTCTCTAGTGGGCATTTGGCAAATTGTATCAAAGGCCTTAAAAATGGTCATTGCCTTTGAGTCATCGTTTCTACTCATAGAAGAGTAAGCTAAGGAAATAATTAAGAGAGTGTGCAAAGATTTAGGAAAATAATGTCCATTAGGTCATTGTTTATAACAGTGAAAATGAGGAACAGTGTCAGTGTCTAGCCACGGGGGGTGGGTTGAGTGCATTTATGTGGCTGCGCTGTGGGATACGTGCAGATGGGTCGGAACTTCGCTGGCATTCGGGCAGCAGACATCTACTGAGCACCTACTATGTGCCAGGCACTGTGCTAGGGGATACTGCAGCAAATAAAACAAACAGAGTGGAACTTACTACTTTCTGTGTCTTGGACCTAAAATGGTGCCTGTGGTGTTTAGTTCTTAGAAAAGGGTACAGTATGATGCCATTTTAAGAAAACATAAATATATGTATAAATATAAGTCTAGCAGTTTACACACAAGAATGTGAATCCATGGTTTTCTGTGGGTGGTGGATTTGTGGGTGGTTTTTATTTTTTTCTCTTTATGATCATCTGTAGTTTGTACAAATTTTAACAGAACTATTACAGGTGTGATTTTCCTAAGGCTTTCACTCTTTCATTCCCCCAAGTGTTTAAGCTAGGGCGATGGGCATTTGCAGCACTGGATCTCAAGGATGGTCTTCGGGCTCCTGGTTTAAAATGCAGATTCTGGGGCGCCTGGGTGGCTCAGTCGTTAATCGTCTGCCTTCGGCTCAGGTCATGATCCCCGGGTCCTGGGATCGAGTCCCACATCGGGCTCCCTGCTCCGCAGGAAGCCTGCTTCTCCCTCTCCCGCTCCCCCTGCTTGTGTTCCTGCTCTGGCTATCTCTCTCTCTGTCAAATAAATAAATAAAATCTTTAAAAATAAAATAAAATAAAATAAAATAAAATAAAATGCAGATTCTGAGCCCCACTCTGGAACCATTGAGTGGGGGTGAGGCCCAGGTGTCTGCCTTTTAAATCCTGGGTGACTCTCCTGCTCCTGACACCCGAAGACCACTGCGGGCTTGAGCAGAGGGGTGTTGGCGTCTTCATGGGCTTCTCCCTGAGGCTGCAGGGCTTTTCTGAGGTTTTCAGAGGAGTCAGGTCTCAAGACCGTTCAGGAAACACTGCCCTTTCCTTACAAAGATGTAGTATTAGCAGAAGAGTCCATGAATGCCATCTGCATCCCCTAACCTCTTATAGCAAGCAAGTCCAAGGACTCAGAACTGATTCAGCCAGTAGACCAGGATTAGAACACAAAAGACTAAATTTCTGTGTTGTTTTCACTCCATGATCCCTGACCCAACATTTTAGAAGGCAAGTATAACTGAGCTTCTCTTAGCATCCCAGAAGCATGATCCAAGGGAATTCATACCTTTCCTGGGTGCTATTTGGCAGCTTTGGGCCAGCATTCTGTCAGCCTAGTATCTGATTCCGGTTACCTCATGCTTATCAGAAGCTGATTCATCTATTCTTCCATTCATGCCTCTGACCAGCCATCCTTCCATCCGTTCATTCATTCAGTAAGCACTTGCTACTTTCCACTCTGTGCCAGGCCCTATGCAAGGTTCTGGGACAAGAGATGAGTAAGGCTCGGTCCCTGCTCTCTGCAGCCTACCCCCGTCCAGCGATGGTGGGTAAGAGTTACAGTGCAATATGACAGGGCAAGGTGGAGAGAAAACTGATCTCCCATTAATTGAAAATGAGGAAAGAAATTAAACAGTTCTTCATAAATGCAGTTTCTCTGGTTCATTGGCTCTTTTTTTTTTCAATAAAAAAAAATTTTTTTTTTTTTTAAAGTAAGTTCTACACCCAATGTGGGGCTCAAACTTACAACCCGGAGATCAAGAGTTGCATGTTCTAACGACTGAGCCAGTCAGGCACCCCATCGTGGGCTCTTTCTTTTTAAAACTTAAAACCCAGCTTGTTTCAAAAGCAACAGTATTCATTCAGGACCGGGAGTGCACCATGAAATGTGATCTTTATCAAATCCTGCCTTCTTCCCCAGAGGCTAAAACTGCTAATAGTTTCTTGGGTATTTTTCCAGAAAATTCTATATATTCATGCATATAGAGAGAGTGAGTCTTCCCTGCCCCCAGTACATGGAAACGTGTTGTTAACGCCGTTCTGTAACTTGGTTCTTTTCACTTAACAATACCTCTTGGACAGTGGCTTCTCCCAGTACCCACTCTTCAATGTTTGCCCTATTGGTGGACATTTGGGTCATTTCCAGAATTTTATTATCCTATACAGTGCAGGAATAAAGATCCTGATGGACGGAGTCACTCAATTCCTGGTGTCCAAAGAGAGAAAATGAAGAGGGGTTGTTTGGTGATGAAAATTTGGAAACAGCCTCCCAGCAATGCCGAGCAGGTTTAGGGTTGAAATGACATAGAGCTGCCAGCTGGGCAGTGCCTGTCCCCCTGCTTCATCCTGCTGTGTCCTTCCTGCAGCTCTCGCCTCCCACGACTACATCTTGAAGATCGTGCCCACGGTTTATGAGGACAAGAGCGGCAAGCAGCGGTACTCTTACCAGTACACGGTGGCCAACAAGGTACGCGGTCCGTGGGCCCAGTTGTGTGCAATTGCGCCCTCTCCTGGCTCTAAGGAGAAGTGACAAGCATCTGAGCGCCATTCCTGCTCGTTCTCTTTGGGGAGCCTTTCCTGGGGCGCTGCTCTGGCCAGGCTCTGTCCCTGGGTAGAGATGAGAGGCTAGTCTCAGCATCAAGGGGAGGAAGTCTAACCAGGAGATGGGTTGTGATCTGTTGAGAAAGAGCCTTGCATCTGGCCCCAGTCCTTCAGACTCAGGACCCTGATTCGTCAACACACGACAGATGTTCTCGCTCCTGGTGTACAAGCGCTGTATCCAAAATCACCAGATGGCCATTGGTTAATAGGAATGTCCTAGGACCCCAATACGCAAAGTCCTGGAGAAGCAGGTAGGCCTTGATGGGAAGCAGAGCATGGTCAGAGCCCGCGGAATGGGATGACTAACGGTCGTTTCAAGCGGAGACAGCCTCTGGCTTCCCAGGAGATGACCCTGCCAATGGACACGGATGCTTGTTGAGGCTAGTTGAGTCACACCCCAGTGGATCCCTTTATCACCAGGACTGTCCTTTCCTCCTGTTCTAGAGCTGCCCGAACCCCTGATAGGTGATACGTTGTTTAGCCCAGTTGATAATAATAATAGAGTAGATACCATTTATTGAGCACTTACTATGGGTTGGATATTATACTAAGCTCTCTACCTCTACCATCTTTTCAGTCATGACAGCTCTGACTGGGAATGTCATTGTCCCCATTTTACAGATTTGGGGACAGTGACACTGTCTTGGCACTGAGAGGTGGTCATAGAGCTACAAAGTGGCCAAGTGGGGGTTAGAACCGAGTTCTTCTCTGGTTCCAGAGCCTGGCCTCTTGCTCACATCACCCACTCAGCCTGAACTGGGGCCGTTGAGTCTGTCGGGCTGGGAGCTGCTCTCTCTCAGGTGACTTGAGGTCCCTCTGCCTCGATCTCCCTGTGCTGATTGATGCTCTGGTGTAACTTTCCGAAGGGAGTCCTGTGTCTTTTACTCACTGTCTCTTGAAGGGCATCTCATTGTAACTGTCAGGTGCTGACTGCATCTGAGGGCTGGGATATGGATGCAATCTGAGCAGAAAAGGTGGGGCTGGAGCAGACTGCTGGTGCAGACCCGGCTCAGTCACTTGCTAGCTGTGCGGCCTGGGACAAGTCATATAACCACTTTGTGCCTCTGTTTACTCATTTGTAAAAAGGATGGTTCCCACCTCATAAGATTACTATCAAATGAGGCAATGTTTTAAAAACTGCTTTGTTCACAAAGGAGGCTTTGGGTAAATACCTACCGCTGCTATTTTTCATTATTTTCCTCTATCCCTCCGCTCTGGGCTTTGACCCAGACAGTCACTCTGCCCCATCAGCTCTCCCTGGAGAAAGCTAATCTTGTTTTGCCCAAGGCTCCTTCCCCTGAGGCTTTGGCAAAGACCCAGCAGTCAGAACAGCTTGCTCAGCTCTCTCTGTGGCCTTGGCCCCAGCCTGCCCTGGGAAAAAGTGGGCCGTGCCTGTCAGAGCCGGCTGCAGTCCATCAGGGCGGGTAGGTCTTGGGTCATCCCTGGAGAAGCATCGGAGCGTGGGCCCTAGCATTTGGGACTGGGGGCACCCCCTGTGGTTTAGTCTGGTCTACAGTTATTGTGGATGAGTGAGAATAGCCCAGACAGCAAATGCCCTGACCAGAGAGGACACATGTTAATTCAGCTCATTAGCATCCTTTTAATCCCAGCCAGCCAACTGCTGTCTCAGGAAGCCTTGTCTAGGGTCCCTTGGTCTTTCCAGTTCTGTGTGTTCCTTCTTTGAAGATGCCCACTCCCCACATGGCCTTTATACTCCTCTCTCTTACACACACACACACACACACCCACACACACCCCTCAGGATGTCACATGTGGCCTAGAATGCCCCCTCCTCACTAAGCCTTCCAGCCAGCCTGGGGAGAGTTGGGCATTCGTTGCCGGCCCCCACAGCACTCCAGGCTTCTGTGGCACGGCATGGACAATGTGACGGTACTGTGGATAGTCTTCTACATCTGCTTCCTTCTGCAGACTGTGACACCCCTCTGGGGATGGGGCAGAGATTCCTCCCCTCAGGGTCCCCAGCAGCCAGCACCCACAAGAGGTGCTCAGCAAACAATGAGTAAATGAATGGATTTTGCATGGCCAGGAATTAGAGGGGGAAATAGACCTTTACTCCGGTGTAGCCCAGATCACACCAGTCCTTTTACATCTCTGCTCTCCAATTCTGGTGCTGCTTCCAGGTCACATGGTCAATGTTCAAGCAGCCAAAAGAGTTGAAAATGTCCCCGGCAATGCTGCCCATCCAGCTGCTGACAGCAGAGCCTTCAGGGGAAGGGGTGAGAGGAACTGGGGGAGTCCGGCTCCAGGCAAGAGAGAGAAGAAGGCCCCTTGTTGTGGGTCGCCAGAGGACCCTTTGCAATCCACCCCCCACCCACCATGAGCCATGGTTTGTGTGTCTGGTGCTCACGTCCCCCTTCTCCCCTCCTCCACCCCAGGAGTACGTAGCCTACAGCCACACAGGCCGCATCATCCCTGCCATCTGGTTCCGCTATGACCTTAGCCCCATCACGGTCAAGTACACAGAGAGACAGCAGCCGCTGTACAGGTTCATCACCACGGTGAGTCGGGGGGCACCTGCCATGCGCCCCTTCTCCTGGCACCCTGCTGGCTCTTGAAGGAGTGGGAGGCAGCCCGCAGGGCTAGGATCTCGGGCTGCACACAGGAGGTGGTGACCCCTAGGGTGCTGAGAAATGTTATCAGAATCATGTCAATATCGACGGCGTGTCATCAAGAAAATATTTTCCAAAGGGGAATGTCACTAAATGAATGTAATTTGTTAAGCAGATGTTTGTATGGCTTAATGAGATGTTTGTGATTCTCTCCAGTGTCTTATTTTTATGGGTTTAGCAGGGTTTGTCCTTTTCTGTGGAAATGTTACAGTGAAGATTTAACTCATTTTTTTCCCAGGTCTATTTTCCAACTACAGCTCCTTGTACTGTCGGGTTTCTTCTTTCTTTCCTGCCTGCTTGTTCTCTTTTCTTTTTTTCTTTGATTTTTTATTTTTCCTTTTTTTTTTTTTTTTTGCCAGCGTCTCCATCAAGTCTGATTTCCTTTGGGGCACAGCTTCAAGCTGATGTCATTTTTCTTTGATGCTGAGTATTTCTGTCAAGGATGCTATTTCCTGGCCTCCCGTTCAAAGTGTCCTTGGGGGCAGAACAGCAGGCTTACAGCACCCTGCTTCAGCCAGGAGGCCCAGAGATGTTTCATAAGCCAGAGTCAGCTGAGGTGGAGGAGATGGGGTGATCATCCCTACCGCAAAGATTTGGAAACTGAGGCCTTAAAGGTCCTTATGCTTCTGTACCTCTTCATACTCTTAAAAATGATCCAAGATCGGGGGTCTAGTCCCGGATCTCTCATTTCTGGCTCTCACTAGATTTGTATTAGTCACAACTCTGTTACAGAAAAGACAGAACCCCACATCCAGCTGGCTTGATATAGGTAAGCCTCAGGCATGGCTAGATCCAGGCACAAATGTTGTCCAGAATAGACGTTTTTTTAGTCCTGTTTTCCTCTATACTGGCTTCATTTTCAAAAAGAATTTACTAATAGAAAGTGCCTCCTTCTCAGTAATTTGACCTGAGTCCTGGATAGGATAGTACTGTCACTGGCCTCACTGAGCTCCCATTCCAACCTCGCGGCCTAGAGAATGAAAGGGGTATCCCAGTTGACCAGCCCCAGCCGGATCACAAGGACAAAGATTGTGAGGGGTGGGGTTCCCCAAGAGAAAAATCAGGGGTCAGTTACTAGAAAACAGAGGGGTGGATATTAAGAGGCAAAAAGTTCAGATGTCCGCAACAGTGTCTCCATCTTATGATCCACTACATAGCAATAACAGGCCCTACTCCGCCTGCCTCACAGGCCTCATGGGACCCAAAGGACATCATCAAAGGGAAGCTCTTTGCCTGATAGAAAGCCATGTGGGTGCAAAGGGTGTCAGAACCCTAGTGCTTATATGAGCCTCACAACAGACTTATGCTACTCTCTGACTCCATACAAATTTGAAACTTTTGGTCAACAGAGGGCACCTACCATAAAGCTAAGACACCGGACACAGATTGGGAAAAGGTATTTGTCACATGTACAAGAAAGGAATAATCTTCAGAATTTATACTGAGAGAATTCCTACAAACCAGTAAGAAAAAGTTAAGTGACCAGAAAGAAAAATGGGTGAGGACTTGACCATTGGAGAGACGATACTGGCCGTGAAAAGATGCCCGAGTTCCCTAGAAATTGGAGGAATTTGATTCAAAATACAAGACCCAGTTTGCTCCTGTCAGACTGGCAGAAATCACAGACCTGCCATGATAGAGATCGGGAGGACGCACAGCAAGGGGACCTCTATCCACTATCTGGTACACAGGTAGATTGGGTCAGCCGCTGGGGGGGTGACGCACAAACCCTTTGACCCAAAAGCCAGGGGACTTGTGAGCAAGTAATTTTACCCAAGGCTGTACAGGGTAGCACCCCAAATGGTTTGGGCTTTTTGTTGTTTGTTTGTTTGTTTGTTTGTTTTACCCCAGCACTCCTACCGCATACCCGGAGTAAGACAGAGACTAAGACACAAGTCAGTGTGTTTGTGCCGTGTGTTCGCTTCTCAGAGGCCCTGGGGTCTGTGGCATTGGCAGTGAGAGAGAAACCCCCTTTGTCTGTGTCTCATTGTAGGGTTGAGAAGGCTCTTCATGTCCCCTTCTTCTTTGCTCCCATATGCCACATAGCTGAGGCTCTGAGTGTGAAAACCCCTTGGCAAGTGGCTGAGAAATGAAGCAACTTCATTTATTCACTAAACTTTTGCGAGAATCTACCACGTGCTGGGCAACAGAGGTAGCTGAATTTGGTCCCAGCTGGTGGGGAAGAGGTGTGAGCACGCAGAGACCTGAGTCCCGTCCAGCAGGGCTTCCACTGGGTCTGTGCACCGGGCACTGTGAGCAACAGCTGCCTTTGGTTTGGCACATTTGGAGAAGGAAACCCAGAGATGGGTCTTGAAGGATGCAGAGACATTTTCTAGACTGGTGAGTGAAGCAGAGAGGGTCTTAGCACAGGGAATAGTATGTGCAGAGGTGCCCGACAATGGCATGTTTTGTGAAGGCCATGTGGCCTCTTTTGATGGGGGTGGACTTCTGAGAGCCGGAGGTCCCAAGAAGTCACAGGGGAAGAGCCTGTCCTTCGTAACCCAGAGGCCAGATACCTCCATGACTCCATTTACTTCCCCTCCTGCCTTTGGCCATCAACCTCGCCTCCATCTCGGCCCCGTCCACCTCTGCCCGAGCATGGGCCATGCTGAGGGAACCTCCTGACAGCATGAGCCTGGTGGTGTTTCTGAAGGCCCCGGGCCACCATCATGGTTGCCACGGCAACCGTGGGGGTCAGCCCCAAGTGAGCCAACCGGCTGTCCCTGGCAGATGGCGTCATTGTGGAGCTTCAAAGGCCCTTGTCACGAGACGAGACAGCAGATGTGGGGATGACGCTCGCATGCAGACACACACAGCACAAAGAGCCCCAGGAGCCCTAGCAGCGCCGGGTGGGGCCAGGATGGAAGTGGAGGCACCTGCTGTGACTTCTCTTTCTCTCTTTTTAAAATCAAACACTTGTGTGCAAAGCCCTCAAACCCCAAATGGGGACCTCTGCAAATAGCTCCTCACGGGGGCTGTTTAAGAGAGGGCTTAGGCCAGAGGCCAGGATGTCGTCATGTGGCGGCTGCAGGGCTTCGGAGGCAGCTGTAGGTGGGCTGGAATGAGGTGGGGTGCCGTTCAAGGGGGTGTGGGTGTGGAGGGGAGAGGCGGGTGGGGCCTCCCTGACGCATTTGTACCTATCAAGTACCTGGCTTATTTGAGGTTGCCCCTCTAGGGTCTCATGGTCTGCAAAGGACTTGGACATCCCGAGTCTGAACAGAGGAGGATCCCTCCTTCGGAAGTCTCCACCAGGCTGCACGGGGCTTCTCTCTCTAGGCACCCGGGGCATGTTGCTCAGACTTCCGTTCTGTGCTATTCCAGAAAATTCCACCACTAAAGGAATAAACAGATGGTATTTAACAACATGCAAGTGATCCCTTTCAAAGTGCCCCCTCCCACACATGCACATTTGTCCCCTGCCCCTGCCACTTGCCAGAGCCCCTTTTTTGGGATTGCCTTCAAGTGGGTTGTGGTGACAGATTGGATGACTTCAGCGGTGTCACATCACTCTCCTTGTGTGTTTTATTCCGTAAGGGAGGAACAGCCAGAAGTCAGAAAGTACCACATTGGGCCAGTTTGGCAGTGACACTTTTTGCCCACCAAAAAGTACCAGCTGGTAATGGCATGCTTCCATTGGGCAGCAGGGATAGCTGAACTAGACATAATCCCTGCCCTCCAGATGCTCCTTGCCGTGAAATAATCCCCCAAACTTTAGATTGCACTTTATAATTGCCAGGCCTGATTATGATGAGCTCCAGGTCTGATGCCCCTGTGTGTCCCCAGCATCCAGCACAAGGCCTAGCCTGGATGTAGGTACTGGATGTAGGTACACAGAAATATACAAGAGACAGCTGCTTGAAGAAGTGATCGTATAGCTACGCTTATTAAGCATTAATCTTACAATTATCTCCTTTAACTGTCCCAGGAACCCTCCAAGGTAGATGGTATCAGTTCTGTTTTATATATGAATTAACTGAGGTCCAGAGAGGTAAAGAAACTCATCCAAGGTCACACAGCCACTAAATGGCGAGGCTGGGACTTGATCCCAGAGCCTGCTTCTGTCACATCCCCCACCCCACTCCCAGTCCCACCACTTAGCTTGGGAGCCTCCATCCTCCAAAATAAAGGCTCTCGAAGATGTCCCAGCAACAGAGTCCCCAGAAACCATGGAGCCCTTGGTGGGACGCCAGGATGATTTGATACAGTGACTCCCTGCTGGGAATCGGGAGGAAATGTTATAGCAGGAAACAAGGTGACATTGTGAGCATGAGTGACAAAACTGGGGAGGTTTTGCCCCATAAGGCTGTATGAGTAGGGAAGAGACCAGCTTTGTAGCTGGACCCGAATCTCCCCTACTCAGACTTCCCTTGGTGTGTCTCTCTTTCCTGGACCATGAGCTCCAGGAAAACAGGGCAGGGCCTTAGTCATCTCTGGTCTCCAGACCTGGGGCAGCACAGGTAGGTGATAAGTAGGCATCAAACACTGAGCAGATGGATGGAGGGGTATACGCCTCCGTCCACCCCCATACCACAACAGTTTCTATTATGTGAGTTGTAACACAGAGCCCACATTAGCAGTAGCAGCTCAGTTATTCAGGGCTGGACATGTGTAAAAAACTTTGGTTCCAATCTTTCCAGACGTTTGAGCAGAGCTAGATCTTCTAGAAGGTTGTGTACCAGGGACAGATTGCTCCAATTGGGTCTGCACACAGATCTCTCAGTTGCATTGGAAACTCCCGGTGCTTGCTTTTTGAAGACAGATTCTGAGACATATAAGGAATACTGGAATGAATGGAGAGAGCTCCCTTTACAAACTACACTTATTTTTACAACCACACAACTTTGTTGATGGGGTCCTCTTACTTCAGGACATTTGATATGTAAAACCTA